CCTCCCAATCCAAAGTATGACAGAGGAAAGCAAGGGCTTATAAACTGGGCTTTGCTCTTCTCTGGTAGTGTAAATCAAATGTTTAAGCAACTCTAGCAGAGCTCTGTGGATCGAGAAAGAGGAGACTGAAACAGACAGGAGGAGTGGAAGAGAATGCCATCTAAGGTGTTTCCCTTAGTAGGAAGTTGCCTTATATGGAGAGAGTCAGGCTGTTGGGTCAACTACCCTTGGTTCTGAATGCTGGTGGCTCACCAGGATTTTCAGGCAGGATTCTTTTTCTCCTCACCCTAGAGGTGACAGGGATTTCAGCTAGGGCTTCCCACATGTGCTCTGTTGCTCAGCTGGAAAAATAATTATTATTGCAGCCAAGTCAGTTTATGACTTATGACAACCCTTGTTCAGTGTTTTCTAGGCAAAGAGTACTGTCCTGGGACTGTGCAGTTTGCCCAAGGCCACGCAGGATGGCTTCTTTGGGGATGCACCATGGGGGGAATCCAACTCCCAACCTCCAGATCCATAGCCAGGTATCTAAGTCACCAAACTTTTCTGCCAAAATTATCGAACTGTAGCCTTGTAATTTTCCCCTCCTCAATTCCATTCCTGCCCTTGGTCTGTGATTTGGGTTTGTGTGGTTTTTTTTTTTTTTTTTTTGGTCATGATTTGTAAGGCCCTGACGAGTAAGCACTTTAGCTTTCCCCGTGCCCTTGGTCTGTGATTTGGGTTTGTGTGTGTGTGGTGTTTTTTGTTTTTTTTTTTTGGCATGATTTGTAAGGCCCTGACGAGTAAACACTTTAGCTTTCCCCCTCTTGAAGAAGTGAGATAACCAAGCCAAGATCAAACCATGGATTATGTCCCTGGCTTGTTGGAGGGAGAAACAAAACAGACCACCAGATCCTCCCAGTCTCAGATATCAGGCTGAACACGCCATGGACCCAAGCCTTCTGATCGGTTTAGCTGCTTTGTCTTGCAGCAGAACCGATCAGCCACTGCGCATCTGGCTCTAATTCTAAAGAATTCTGGCTTACAATGACATGCTCTTTCAGGCTTCCGGGCCAACATCCTCCTGACTTGGGATATTTGGATTCTGTTCCTAAAGGGACTCACATCTCACACACCTTTCCTTGGCTGAGTCTACAAAGCCTTCTTTTCAGTTTCTATACCTTCTCTAGGTGGCTGGGATTTTATTTTTATTCTTCCTTTTTTTAGCACCAATGTGATCAAGCTCTTAGAAGGCCAGACAAGTCGCACTTGTAGTTAATGAAATGGAAAACTTTGATGAAGTGATTTATTATTTACTTTATTACTAATTACCCTAACCTTTAAGTTGTAATTCTACATCCAGAATCCCATTGCCAATTCACAATTGCAGAAGGGAGATCATGGAAGTCCAAGTGGTATTTGTTTATTCCTTTTTAGTCATTGAACATTGTTTTAGCTTTAATATTGTCATTTAATGATGTAATCCATCGTTATATTGTTTTCAGCTTTAAATATTGTCTTTCAAGTGATGTAAGCTGACTTGGGTCCTTTTTAAGGAGAAAGCAGGGGTACAAATATTTAAAATAAATAAAAACAAATAAATATAATTCGGCCAAATTTCTAAATTACGTACTTGGTCCCAAAAACACAGTTGAACATATTTAAATATTCTCGATGAGATCAAAGCAAAGTAGGCTGCCTATATACTGCCCCAGAGCACTTAAATCACTCTCTGGATAGTTTACAAATTAATTATTAAACCTTGTTGTTCCCCCACCGCCATGAGCTGGGTACTCATTTTACTGACCTTGGAAGGATGGAAAATTGAGTCATCCTTGAGCCCGCTACCTGATCAAAGTTCTATTGTGAGTAGAGTCGTGGCTGCAGTATTGCAGTTTAACCACTGTGCCATGGAGCTTCATAATTAAGACACAGATCTGATGCAAGAATAAAGTGTGCCCCCTTTATAAGGAAATAGCCACAAGGGAACAAGCTTGAACATCAGCTGATGAATTATTGCCACTTTGATCCCCAAGGTAATACTGCCAATGTTGGTCGCATTAGCTTTTACTATTTGATTCCCAAGACATTAAGCTAGTTATAGTCAATATGCAGTCAAAAGTACAATCAGTCACAGGGGGGTGCTGGAATTCATTCTAGTTAAAGTGAAATCATCCCCCGTTCCAGCCCTGCTTTACTTTGCACTACTCCCAGGCACACCGATCAGGGAATACAACAAAAGCCTCCCGTGCAAAGAATGGTCCTTCCACCAGCGGGAGGCTTTTGGTCCAGGGGCTCTTTCTTGTGGGTTGAACAAAAGTAGTAGTCATCTTTGGCCACTCCTCTATTCCCTTCTTTCTTCTCTCTCTCTCTCTCTTTCTCACACACACACACACAGACACACACACTTACATGTGGGTGTGGGTTGACAGGAGGGAAGAAATAAATAAATGACACCACCCCCACCCACACACACTTTCTACCAGTAGGAGCTATTCAGAGAATATCTGCTTGGGGATATTTCTACCCAGGGAATAAAACGCTGGCTGCAATTTATTGGTGTGCATTTTGTTCAAATGTGATAGCCTTCTCAGGCCAAAATGCTTGTATGACTTTGATGTTCAGACCAGAAACATTACTTACAATCCAGTCTGCCAGCTGAAAACATAGAGGAGTTCCACTCATAAGACAATTACAGGGCAAGCTCTAATTCCTGGCTCCATGTCTATACTGTACATAGAGCGACCAGCCTGGGCGCCTGAACTTGAGGAAAGACCTCTTAGTATATGACGAGGCTGTTGATTGGGAGTCCCACGGTGGTCATGTTCCATTGGGAGCTGAGACAGTCCAAGAGGAGTGGCAGAAGTGATGGGTGTAAATTGCCGGGGAGGCCCGTTGGTGTAACACAAGTTGGTTTCTATGGGGAATGGAGGTCCAACACCCACCCACCCCCAAGATAACATTGCTTCCTAGTGGAATTCTGATGAGGTGGGTGGGGTTATGAATCTACCATCTGTATACTGTGAATCTCACCTTATGCTCAGCCCCTGCCTTGAAAGCTGATTTTTCAGTTAGATTTAGAGTTCCAAGCCTCCAGAAATAAGAACTGCTTCAAATACAATGTTATAAAAAGTAATGCTTTTTTAGACTACAGCCACTTCATCAAATACACACAATGTCACCTCAGTAAGCAGCTATGTGTACATATGCTGGGGAAAAGGTGTATAAGGTGGTATAGAAATGCAAAAGTGCAGTGATTGTGTGAATAGGGTTCGCTTGACAATTGTCGGGGGGCGATTAGGGCATCCTAGCACAGATCCTACTGCTGGACTGCTTACTGGTTATGGACATGTGTGATATACAAGTGATTGCAAAGTCCCAGCCTCTCCAGCCTGCGAAAAAACGCACCCATGCATGCAGGGTGTCCTGCAATACAGACCCCATCTTGACATGCATGTGCCACCTGTTGTCATTCTGAGCTTTTCACAAGCAACTTGTCATAGCTCCCAAGCTGGGATTGGCTGTAAGTCATAAAAAGCCAGTATCTCCTTGGAAATGAGACATTTCAGAAGAGTAAAGACATTCATCTGCTCATAGTAGGGTAGCTGCTGGCACATTATTAAAAAGAGAGAAAGCACACAACGAGTAAGAATACAAAAGGGCAGACAAATCTTCATACAATGTGCACATGCTAAGATACGACAGTCAGGGTGGTGTAGCATCGGACCAAGACTTAGAGGAGACCTGGGCTCAAACCAGGGTATGACATGAAACTCATTCCCACGTGGCAATGGAAAACCACCCCTTGACCATGCCACGTACCACAAAAGCCCGACTGGGATCCATAGTAATAAGGAGTGATTTGATGGCATGTTACAAAAACCATGTTTCAATACAGACACAACTTTAGATACAACTTTCAGCAGAAATTCAACACGGGGATGACTTTACATGCACTGGCAATTTTCTGTAAGTAAAATATTTTTTCTCCTGTCCTGTGGCTTCCTGATGAGGAGAAGGATCACATGAGAGTCTCTGGAGCTTCATTACAGAAGTTGGAAATATTTAATTTCTGAAAAATCATTGCTGTCACGTTAATCAGCCTTATGTGGTATAAGTTGCAGCAACAGGATTTCAGGCATTGTTTGATTGTGCTTCTGTACCTGAAGAGGCAACCTATAAATTTAAGTTGCAGCAACAGGATTTCAGGCATTGATTGTGCCTCTGTACCAGAAGAGGCAACCTATAAATAAATAAATTTTTAAGCAAATCTGACACCTCTTATACACTTTGGGAGGGTATTAAAATTAAGGACGTGGTTACACTGTTCCTGTAGTGATGTATGGAAGTGAGAGTTGGACCATAAAGAAAGCTGACTGCCGAAGAATTGATGCCTCTGAATTATGGTGCTGGAGGAGACTCTTGAGAGTCCCCTGGACTGCAAGGAGAACAAACCTATCAATTCTAAAGGAAATCAACCCTGAGTGCTCACTGGAAGGACAGATCCTGAAGCTGAGGCTCCAATACTTTGGCCATCTCATGAGAAGAGAAGACTCCCTGGAAAAGACCCTGATGTTGGGAAAGTGTGAAGGCAAGAGGAGAAGGTGATGACAGAGGATGAGATGGTTGGACAGTGTCATCGAAGCAACCAACAGGAATTTGACCCAACTCCGGGAGGCAGTGGAAGACAGGGGGGCCTGGCGTGCTCTGGTCCATGGGGTCACGAAGAGTTGGACACAACTAAACGACTAAATGAAACGATACACTGTTGAAATGTATTGATACCCAGTTTGATGTTTTTGAAATAGATTTAAGGTCACAACCGTTGTGTATTGCTGTGTGCATCCAGGACACCTTTTAAACCAGTTTTAAGTTAGACACAACCGTTGTGTATTGCTGTGTGCATCCTCTTGGGACACCTTTTTAAACCAGTTTTAAGTTGGGTAGTATATTGTTCCTGGGAACTTCCATTTCTTTATGTGTAATGCATCTCAGAATATAATGGCCAAGGGCAGTCCTTGTATCACTGTTAAGAGGGAACACATTTATTGTGCTAGGAATCATCCTAATTTAGCAAAACCAAAACCAAAGAGAAATAATAACATACTATGATGACACAAAATGACACATTCCTTGCAAAATGAAATAAAACTGCACACTCACAAAACGAGGAAGGGAGGTGAACATAGCCAATAGGCAGAATGTGTGCTTTGCATAGAAACACACACATTGTGAGATCCAACTAACAAAAATGGGAATGATCTTTGGTCAAGCCTTGAGAAAGAATTGGCTGGCCAACTAGGAGAGGGAACATTGAGCAGGCTCCTATGGTCTGGCTCAGCTCTACCAATTCTGTTCTGAAATTGAAAAAATCCTTCTGCAATTTTGTTTTGTCCTTTAATTGACATCTGTGTGTGCAACAGGGTGCATAGTCTTGCATGAATTAATTATGCAAAATTTTTTTACTCTCAGTGAGCTACTCTGCAGAAATAAGAGTATGGCTTGGATCCATATAACATCCCTGTGTCTAAAGTTCCTGTTTCTTGGTGAAAAAAGTTCACCATCAGAGTTTAAGGCTTTCCTTCTGTCAGAGCCGTTGATAAAGCTTCATGATTTGTTCATCGTGAAGTTTTTTCCACATCCTCTTTTCCAGGCCAAAGTCATGATTAACGTAGAAGATCAGGCGCTTCCATTCCTTATCATAGTAATGATCTGAATATTTTTGGTAGCCTTCAGTGATGTACCCATATGCACTCACCTGAGAAAGGCAAAAAAAATAATAATAATTAGTCATAATTTCACAAGAAAAACTTTTGCATTGGCCATCAAAAGGATACACTGGAAATGGAGAGTTGGGGTCAACCTGAGAGTTGGTGGATTTAGACAAGAGGTATGTGTGAAGCAAAGCCAAAGGTGCTCAGCATCCTCCCTCAAGGGACTACTTTCTCAGTTTTCAAGGCATTGCTGCAGGATCAGGTATACTTTGGGACCTCTGCTTCAGAAGTAACTGATAAGTAGGGAGCGGGTGAAGAAGCATTCGGCTGATCAAATTATGATAAGCAGTCCTGGCAGCCTGTGGAGCTCATAGAGGAAGTTACACAGATTAAAAAACACATAAGAGCATTTGTTCACTTTGCAATCTGGATAAACATTTTCCTTTTTTTCTTCTTTAAAGTTTAGTGGAGAGAGGAAGGAAGGAAGAGGATGCAAGGAGTAAGAGTCCAAAGGACCCATACCATATATGGTGACAGAGACAAGAGCTGGAGGTCAAGTTAGTGAGATGAAGGAACGCCTTGTCAGTCAGGGTGTTTATTCCTGTCATCTGTCTTGCAGAATTGTAAGGCAAGAATCAAAGTACCTGGAAAAGAGTAGGAGCAGCAAGACTGCTATTGCTACTCTCATTTAGAGGCAGACTCAGGAGCCCTCAAGATGGGGTATTTCTACCACTACTTTATTCTGCCCCTGTTTGTTCTAGCTTGTTCTGAAACATTGTTGGATTTACATCCATAAGCTTCCCCAATGGTTAGAAGCCATTAGAAAAAGATAAAGATGAAAAATGGC